ATGTCAAGGATCCGTGCCAGTAGCTTTGTAGTTTATACTGGACTTGCTGCATCCTAGCTGGATCTTTTGATTTAGTCAATAACATCCCATGGTTAAATGTTTCTTTGATGCGAGACATTTTGGTTTAATTTGTTTCCCTACTGATTTTAGTTTGCTTTATCTGAATGGTAACTTCACCGTGATAGCTAGTTAGCCCTATTTCATTGTGCGCTCAACTAAATAGGTTGGATTTGTTTTCGATTAATTAAATGTTCCTAGTAGGCTTTGAGTCAACTAACTTGGTTGTCCTGCTCAAGCAGGAAAAGAAGACCACAGGCCTGAATCAGTCCTACTCAGACTTGTGTTTCATTTCTTTTGTGTCTTTTGACTCTCCTAGCTATCTCATGTTCCGTTTTTTACTTAGATTTCTTTTATTCTGTTACTATCCACTCAATATTGTTTTGTTTGCTATTTGGAGGTGCACTAGAAAATGAGAAAAGGGAGGGATCCACCATCTAAACTTGCATGGCAAACTGTGGTGCTGATCGAGTTGGAGTGGAGTGGGGTTTTGCTTTCTTCGATGTCGATAATGAGATATTTGACATGCCGGCCGATTGTATGCACACTAATTTGTCGCCCTTGCAGATCAGTCAATTCAATTCTGCCTCTTATGGTTCTATGCTTTGTTACTGCAGAACATGATTTGGGCGCATTTTACCAACCCACGAGCTGCTCGAGCGGTTCGTATTTCTGATTTTTACCATGCTTTCATTAGCACCTGCCACAACAGGAAACGGCTGATTTGCCGGGAGCAAAAAAATTTGCCGAGTGCTTTTTATCGGGCACCTGGCAAAGGAATTCTTTGCCGGGTGCCAGGCCTGGCGACACCCGGCAAATAAAGGCCTCCGGCAAAGCAGCCTTTGCCGGGTGCCGGGCACTCGGCAAATTCCAGCCGTCGGCAAAAATGGTCTTTGCCGGGTGCCGGCCACTCGGCAAAATATGGCCGCCGGCAAAAGTGGCCGCCGTCAGCCTTTGCCGGGTGCCACGCCGTTAGGCACCCGGCAAAGAATTTTTTTATTTTTTATTTAAATTTCTTTGCCGGGTGCCCCATGACCTAGCACCCGGCAAAGGCTTTTTTTTGTTTTTTTTACCCGCAAATCGCAAATCCAGAAGCCTGTCCGCGCCCCGCCGCCCTCTCCCTCTCCCTCTCCCAAATCGCGGCCGCCCTGCCGGCCCCAAATCTCGCGCCCGCCCCGCCCCAAATCTCGCGCCCGTAGTCTCCTGTCGGCCGCTGCCCTGTAGCTCCCGCCGCTCATCCCCAGTCCCGCCCGCGCCGCCCTCTTGCTCCCACTCACCTCACCTCGCCCCCCAAAGATCTCGCTCGTCCCCTCCTCACCCCACGATCCCGCCCGCCGCCTGAAGTAAGCCATGAACACGACATCCAACGCCGCCGCCGAGCCCTCTCTCTCCCTCTCCAAACAGCCTATCCACGTTGTCGCTGCTCGCCGCCCCACAGAGCACGCGACAGTGGAGGACGTGGCTCGGCCTCGACGCTAGGCACCTCCCTCCCCGGCGGCGGGCCGTGGGCGAGGTGTGGAAGAGGCCACGAGCATCGCTGATGCGCCTAAAGCTAATCCAAAGGAGGTGAGATAATTTTTCCCTCCACTCCCCTTCTTCCGGGTCGTAGAATTCGTGGGTGCTGGTGAGACTCCACCGAACTGCCTCTCGCACTATGTGTGCCGTGTTCTGTTGATTCAGATTTGCCGAATGCAAAGTGATGAGGGTGGGGCGACATCAGAGATCGAGAGGTCTCCTAGTAGCACCGGCGTTTGAAAGGATTCTGTGTTGCTTGATGTTCTTGCCTGGTTGTAATGTTTTTATTCACTGATCTATGTGCTTGCCTCGCTCATCTAGATCCAAAACATCGTACACAAGAAATCCAATCGATACGCAGATCAACTTGAATTTGTATATCATGGACCTTCCAATCAATGCTAATCTGAATGTCTCAATGTGATCGAGACAACCTCTTTATCGTTATATTAGCAGCCACTAACGTATGGGCTTCAACAGAAGGCTATCTTTGGCCCGACCTCGAGAGAAGGAACAGGAGTAACAATTGTTCGCGCCATCCCGAATGCTCAATGTCTGAATGTGTTCGAGCGAATCGTCGACAAAGTGACAAGCAAAATCCCTTTGCCACCTGAAAGGAGGAAGCCATTCGCACATTTGCAAATGCATGCGAGGATGGGATGCGGATGAAAGTAGCTGCTATAGCTCATCTCCATTTTACATGCATGTATTGTATGCGTGAGATGGAATGGAATGTACGCCTCTCTAAGGCGTCAAAGAATTGGTTCCATGCACCCATATATCCATCAAATAAAGCACGCACACATGTATATATCAAGTAGATGGGGATTAATTCCCTAATCCTCAAGGATACCTCCTCCTTGTCTGATGCCCGTAGCCTGCTTCATTTGCCCAGTCATCATTTCTTAATGATTAATTCATGCCGCTTTCGTGATTCTACCCTTGTACAAAAGGGACAATAAGAAAAAGTAGCTAAAACTCACGCCTTCCTATTGTGAATTTGTCTTGTAAAATTCCCTCAAACAAATGAGTAGCTGGCCATCCTATTCTAGGTGTGCTTGTTGCTGCAGAGAACTATTTTTGTTAACCAAATTTTGTGTTTGCTTGTCATATCAATTAGAATTTGCCTGGGTTCATATCACTATGTTTTACACCATTATTAGCTCACTGCATTGTTTGATATGTGCGTGCTTAAGCTGTGTACTTGGTTCTTCAAACTCAGCAGGGCTTGCCAACGTGTGGATCATTGCACCGACACCAGCCGGATGTCCTGCACCGAACCACAACGAGGCTGACATAAGACCTTCTTCACCAACACACGACAAGGCTGCTCGTGGTGCTCCCCCACAGGCCCCAACAAGTTGCAAACCTGCACTACCGACGTCGTCCTCACATTATTTGCAGCCTACTGATTGAAGTATTGTAGGTACGCACTTAACACTTGTGGGTTCTATGTCCAGAAATAATTCATATGTCACTGTTTTCCTGCTCTATCACACTTTGCTTCCACATGTATCATTGTATGTGTAACTGCTGTTTTTTTACTTGTGTTGCTTGCTGTAGGCATTGCAAATGCTAGCTGTCAGTTGTTTATCTAATTTCGAATTGCTCTCTAGCAACTGTGCTTTGTCAAACCTAAGAAGGTTCAAAATTTCTTGGTTCAGAAAAAAGGACATATAGTTCACTTTTCTTTGCCAAATTGAGTGGCACAGCCCATGGTCCAATTGCACCCTCGGAAGCAAAATGCCAGTGACCTGTAAACACTTTATTTTTTTAGTAAAGTCTACCACGGGTCCCTAAACTTGCGCCACCGTGTCATCCCGGTTCCAAACTTGCAAAACACTCACCTAGATACCTAAACACCGTCCGGGTCTCATCGTCCATCCAAACGGATCTCGACCTACTATCCGCCTCCTCCCGCATGTAGCCCATTGCGCAAAGGCGTGGAGGCAGGTGAGGTCTGAGCTCCACGGCATAGGCTGGGTCGACCGTGAGCACCGGGAAGATCCCGACACCGTTGATGCGCGTTGACGAAGGTCTCAACCGTGGACGGATGTGAAGCCGGTGGTGAGGCCCCGGCGATAGCTCGATGCAGAGCACGGTCTCGCGAGCCTCTCGATGAGGCATTGAGCTCGACGGACGCTATCATGCTTGAGGCTAGAGGAAAGTGCGATGGTGCATGCCATGACCTTCAGTTCATCTGGGCAACGCCCGTCTCTAGTGTTACTTTCACCAAGCATTCTGCATACAGGTGAATTCATATGAGGCGATGGATCAAGAACAAGAGGCGAGTGTATGCAATCGAATGATATCTTGAAAGAAGTTTGGTTTGGTCATGACGGAGTAGCTGTTGGCTAGCATTGGCATCATGGTGGTTGGTGGCGCACGTGTACATGACAAAGATCTCCCCTGCAACCCTGTGGGGACTTCGTGGCGTCCTTCCCTGAGGAGTTGAGATGGCAATGCGCGCAAGGACCAAAGTGAGAGGTCTAAACACCTTTAGTCCCGGTTATAGGAACCAGGACTAAAATTCGAGACCTTTAGTCCGGATTGCATATATAGTTCTGGTTCCCAAAATCGGGACTAAAGGCGGTTGGGAACCGGGATTAAAGCGTGTTTCTCAGGTAGTGGTATATTATATGTAAAAATTATGTTTGACATATAGAAGTAGAGGGAGAGAGAGAGAGAGAGAGAGAGAGAGAGAGAGGAGAATTTCAAGTAGACAAAATAAACAAAAGTATATGTAAAAACTATTTTGATGTAAAAATATTCTAAAAATGTTAGAGTAAACAAACTCAAACTATCGATGCTATTGACTATCTTGTTTTTTTTAGGAAAAATTGACTATCTTGTTGGTTCATTCTAAAGGGGAAAAGGGCTCTAAGCCCGAGGGAGAGAAGTGTGCGCGGCCCATGAGGCAAACAGTTAGGTTGTTCTGTTCAAGTTATTGCCACTCTGGACCGTTGAGCGCCAACGGCCTTCAAGGTCGATTTTATTCAATTACACGGTCTAGTGGCAAATTATTATTTAAAAAAAGTATTCGAAGGGCATATATAAATCACAAGTTCAAATGTTCAATTGTTCGGTTTATTCAGTGACAGGCAGGCTAATTTCATAAACGAGCAAGATCTCCGCCAATTCAGAGATATACCATACACTGAATGTTATGGATCTCACCAATACGTAGTGAATGACAAAGTGAAGATGGCACACAAGTGCATACATGGTACATAGAATAGAAGCATCAAAATGCTTGAAAGATGAGCTGCAAGCGAAATATATACACAGAGAGGTAGGAGTATCCAAGTATGTAGCTCGGAATGGCCAGCGAGAGGTGGTAGTAGGATAGTACATGCACGATGCGTGTGTTCGATCGATCACCTCCAGCGATCGCCGGCAGCCGCTCCGTTGACCACGTCGGCGGCCAACTACTGGTCGCAGCTGGCCGACCTGGTGAGCGCCGCGGCCCGGGCCGCCGACGCGTTGAGGCTGCTCCTCCGCTCCTGGCACGACGCCGTCCTCCGGTCCAGGCTCCGGCGCGCGATGCGGCGCATGGAGCCCGCCAGGGACAGCGTCGGGTTCAGCCTCGTCGTGGCGTTGAAGTCCCTGCACTCGGCCTCGTGGGCGCCCAGCGCCGCTGCCACGCCGCCGCCGCCGCCGCCCGCCGGGTCCTGCTCCTGCCGCCGCACCCGCTCCTTCACCGCCTCCGCGCACAGCCCGCACAGCCAGTCGCCGCAGAAGGACGCGCGGACGCCGCGGATGTACGCCGCCGTGCAGTCCTCGCCCACGCCGCAGCACGCGCAGTGCACCGTCTCCACCTGCTGGTCGGAGCCGGCGGCCACCGCCTTGGCTGCGGCCGTGGCGGCGCTCGAGGCCACGACGTCCGGGCGCGGATTGCTGCTGCCGAAGCCGATGATGACGAGTTTCTCCAGCTTGCTTGCGATTTCTGAGCAGGCCCGTCGCAGATCTTGGCTCTCCATCTGAACAGCGCTCCGTTATTAAGCACGTATACTGATTGCATATATTATTCATTCGTCTATCTATATACACATATGTAGCAGGGAATGATCATATATTCATACATCTTGTGAGCCCACTGTGCACATTATGTTTTTTTTTACGAAAAATATCTCTTTTTGCTCACTCCCTCCTATGTCTATTATACCTGCATGCATGGCATCTTAGAATATATGATGGCAGGGTTTCTAGCTCACACATTAATGTCAAAAGTACCACGTTCATTTCATTGCAAATTGCAAGTCGTTTTAGCTTTTCTACGTAACAATATATCTAGTAGACATAGCATATATCTAGGTGCGTAACAAAAATTATGTATCTAGAAAAATCAAAACGATCTACAATTTAGAATGGACAAATTATTTAATTACTGTGGTACGTTAATTCGTTGAGTGAAGATAGAATTTACCTTTGCAGGGAGCTCGCTCGCTCTTTTGGGCCTCGATGATATACTTGTATCTTCCTCTCTCGCTCGCTCCTAGGTTGGAAGCAATATATGGTGAGAGCATGCGATCCTATATGGTATTTATAGGGCTAGATGGCATGGGCATGCCCACACAAGTAGTGCCCAAAGGAAGCACAACTTGGATGAGCTTTTCTTGCAACTTGTACATGATCGAGATCACCGGCAGCACTATTCCAACGAGCAGCTAGTTCAACCACAAAATATATATAAAGAAGTTTATTAATTTGCAGAGAGATGATGATGGATAGGTGTATCCAGGGCAACATCTTGCATGTGAAAGAGAGAGATGTTGTTTGCATTGGTAGAGAGCACAGAGCCTAGAGGCATGTCATTGTGACTTTCTGAGTATGGCAGTGCTCAACAACGACACACCTATGTGCGGGTGGCGCCGCAAAGCAAAGAGATAGTATACGTCGGATCGTTAAAAGCGCAGCACTTGTAGACGGTGTTCATGCATCTATCATCCCATGCAAACTGCTTCAACAGCCGTTTTCTTCACTAGGCAGTAGCTAGTGTAATGAGCAATCATGGATCTTGCAAAAAGGAGTAAAAAAGAACATGGAGGCAAAAGGCACCGTTTGTATTTTGCTAATGGATGATGGATGTGGCTGGGAATCGTCGGACACTTCTTATCACTACTAGAGAACAGACTTTAGAACGATATCCCAATTTGGCATTAGTCTCGTCATTTTTTGCCCCCCGGGACTAAAGGCAGACCCTTTAGTCCCGGTTAGTAACACCAACTCGGACTAAAGGACCCTTTAGTCCCGGTTGGTAACACCAACCGGGACTAAAGGTTCCCCGATGGGTTAGTTCAAAAGGAAAGCATCCCATCTATTGTTAGATGTGTTGTATATGTGGGGTGGTAAGCTCGCGCGAGGCAGTGCATGAGGTCTTGGGTTCGAATCTCATAGGGCGCAGCGGTGGGAGGCATTATTTTTTTTAAGCTGGGAGGATCTTTAGTCCTGGTTGTGGCAAACCGGGACTAAAGAACACCACCTTTAGTCTCGGAACGCTAGTCCCGGTTGGAAAACCGGGACTAAAATCAGTTCCCAACCGGGACTAGATGTCAGTTCTGTAGTAGTGTATTTGTGCTCCTGGTCCGACCCCGTCTCTATGATCACATGACCTAGAGTGCTTTCGCTTTACTCTAGCGTTGTATTTGGTTTAGCTTCTGGAAATTACTTTTGCTGCTAAAAAGCAAAACACCAGCCAAATGAGTAGAACTTGAAGCTCTTTTGTGTAGTACAATTTTCGCAGCACTTAGACCTTGCTTTTGGCTTTCTGCTTTTTCGAATGGGTGAAAATAGAGATAAGTTTCAAAATTGTTTCGAGGGAGATTAAGAGAGAAAGCAGGTTTCATAGTTGTTTCAAATGAAAAATTTTAAATACAAAGTTGTAGATTGCATCAAGCTATACAATTTTGATATAAAGTTAGTATTTATCGTACTTTATATGAAAAATCTATGATTTTTATATAACATAAAAAGAGATCACTTGACATGTAAACCCAACCACCACGTCAGCAAAACCACCAAAAAAAACCGCTTTGAAATGTTTAGGGGGTATTTTGTACGGTTTTGGGAGTTAAGGGGTAGGTTGTTCGGTATTCGAGTTCAAGGGTAAATTTGGCGACAATTTCAGGGGATAAATCAAACATTACTCTTTTTCATGTAAACTAGTCGAAATTAAAAGAAATTTTTATTTAGGATAGAATCAAAGTGACCTGTAATTTAAAACGGTATGAGTTGCATACACTGGCCACTGGCTCTTCACATTGGTCTCTTTCCCGATTGATGATCAATCAGCAACAGCAAAACATCAAACCAGTCACCATCAGAGAGTAAATGAAGTGCCCAAATGGAGCTAGCAAGCAGCAAGCAGTGCACGATGCCCTCGTGCAGGCTACGGCCGGGAGATACGACATAGGTAGATGCAGCAGTAAAGGTGTGTCCACACGCGATCGAGACAGTGGTAGTAAAGTAATGTCAGGCATGCCATTACACGTGCACTTCGGCGCCTAAAATGCAATGCAATGCATACTGCAGACAGCAGCAAAAGCTGCAAGGTGAATCCTCAGAAGCAAGCAAGCACCAGAGAGCAGAGGCCATGCATATACGTACGTATGCATTACCGCCCTCGTGACCGTGAACGCCTCACAATTATCATCGCTTTATGCGAATGGGTATCCAATCCTTTCCTTTCTGTCATATCATATGCTCCCTCCGTCCAAAAAAAAAAAGACACTATAAGATGTGTGACAGTCAAACTTTCTTAGTTTGACTAGTTTTATAAAAATATTAGCAACATTTTATCACTAAATAAAATTATTATAAAAAATATAATTCATGATTTATCTAATGATACTAATTATATGTCATAAATATACACGCACTATTCTACACATACTATTCTACACCAAATTGTTATACTGAACAGTCGCATTTCAATATTATTCATTATTTCGTGATGTTGGGTGTAGTACTGAGTGATATTGAACGTTGTTCAGTAGTACTCAGTATTTTTTTCTGCTCAATTTTGGCTTGTGGTGTAGAATAGCACGGCCGTTATAAATATTAATACTCTTTTATATATAATGGGTTAAAATTTAAAATATTTAACTTTTCGGAAAGTGAGAATTATATTCTTTGTGGGACGGAAGGAGTATATATCTCTGGTGTGTGTCGTGCAAATTATATGTATAACTCATAGATAATGTTCTGACGAGAATAACTTCTACGTGACTGCAGGTTCTATGTCCTTTTTTCTTCTTCTTTTGACGAGCTTGAGGAATGCTGAGTGGTGCCACGCAACTCAGTAAAACCACTGCCAAAGTCAACTCAACAACAAAATAGGCTTGCATGGGTGAGACCATGAGATCTAGGAGGTGTTTCTTTCTCTCTCTCTCTCTCTTGGGTTGGGTTGGTGAGTGGGGGGGTTCATTTTTTAAAGTTCAGGAGCCAATGTTTTATGTCCGATATCTGAGCTCATTGTGATAACTAGACACTCTTCCCCCCTCAGAAATCTTAGTACGTCTTGTATATATGACTGTATGGGCGGACCTTTTCATGTTATTATTTATAAATAAAAGTTTAGGTTGGCAGGCCCTGTTTACTTGAATTTATCAGCCCGGCTTATCAGCCATGATATATTGTTTTTCTCTCACAACAAAACAACATCAACCGGCTTAATTTCCGAAGTGCTTCTCACCAAGTTTGACTTGAGAGCAAGGTTTCAAAAAGCGCTTGGCACCAAGCGAACAGTGACCTTCTGTCTAGAGCTGAAGCGTTTTGCACTGCGGCAGAAGTTCAGAACTCAAAGCATTCAGCATATACATCAATTTTTTTACTGAATACCTCTCAGAAGATATTAGGAGGAAGAACAAAATGGAAAAGAAAAGGCAAAAAAGATGCTAGGGCTTCTATTTAGTAGCCCATCTAGCCCATTAATGCAGCACCAGCCCACTTTGCCCTGCGCATGCACTCTTTCTTTTTCTACCAAACTTTGTCCTCTTTATTTCCTTCTTAGTTCTGACACACACGGTGGAAAAAGTGCATTCATGCATGAGCTAGAAATGGCACAAATACAAAACATTTATCAAGATTTAATTGTGATATTCTTTTAGTAGTACGTGATATGCCCGGCTTTTAAAACAACTTGGAATAATATGGTGTATGTAAGTGTGCATGCGTGTTTATTTAAGTTTTCTCTTTGGATGTGCATAAGTTTTGGTCCGAGTGTTGGATTTTGAGAAAATTCCCCTGTATGGCACTTTGAACCCCACTTATTCCTTCTATGGTACTGGTGGCAAGTTGCCCGTAAGGAACGAGACGTTGTTTAGGAAGGGCGGCGCCGGCGGCTGGCGCAACCACATGACGCCGGAGATGGCGCGAAGGGTCTGGACAAGATCGTCGAGCACGCGTTGCAGGGTTCTGGGCTTACCTACGGCAGCTCAGCGTGGGCCACGTACTCGCACCTCGTTCACCCCCTAAACTAGTACTTGAATTTTTAAAATCCCATCAAACTTCAATACCAGAAAGCAAATAAACACGCCTTATAACTTTTATAAAACCGAGAGCACGAGGCCACGGCGGCGCAGGCCGTGGCGGCCTGGATCGCAAGGCCTAGGGCCACGTTCGCGACGACGTGTGTGGCCGCCTGGATCCCAAGGCCGAGGGCCACGTTCGCGACGACGCAGGCGGCGCCGGCGGACAGGAACCACCAGCGGCCGGCAAGGAACCTGTCGAGGAGAGCGAAGAAGTCCACAAGCCGGCGTTGAGCCGTCGACTTGCTTCAACTTCAACCACCACATCCCGCATTCTTTGAGAAATCTAGCTATGAGCAAGAAACCGGCCAATCGAGACGTACGCACTGGAAGAGAAGAATATCTCCTTGTTGCTCCCGATCGATGTTGCCCTTGTCGTTGGAAGATGCGTGATGCTGACGCCACTGCTGTTGCCGTTATTCAGCATGGAGCGTCGTCGATCTCTGTCTTCT